ATTAGATTAGCATAAGACCCTAATCACCCCTCTCTAGGGTCTAAACAATTGGTATCAGAGCTTGGTGCTCTTTGATTTAAGGTCTAATCGCCTTGAGTTAAAGATCCAAGTTAGCTTATTGTGCTAATCTAATTTTGAGCTTTATTTGTATCTTGCTTGCCTTTTATTTTATGGATATGCATGGTTTAGGTTATGCCATTAATATTGCTCCTAGATTAGATAATTTTCCCTATGCCCAATGGTGTGTTAGATTTAAACTTTTTGTTCAATCTAAACACTTTGATTTATGGGAAATTATAGATGATGCTTATATTGTGCTCACTACGGAGAAATCCAAGTGGAATAAAAATGACCATCGTATGTTTACAATGAATAATATTTTGTTAGAATATTTGCTAAATACTTTTAATTCATCTATGTCTAACAAGTTTGTTCATTTTGATAGTGCTTACAAACTTTAGAAATTTATAAAAGCACATCAAGGGGACTTGGAGGCGATCCGACAAGCTTTGGAGGATCCGGCTTCAAGTTCATGTGGAGCATCATGCATACGGTCACTAGGCGATAGCCCTAGTGAGGTTTGCGGGTTCGAAACCTTTAATGATTTACCTAATGATGAACTTGTTTGTGCTAGTGAAAAATTGTTGCATGCCTTTAACAAATTGCATAAAGATTTTGTTGATTTACAATGCAAGCATGATAATTTAAAATCCGATCATGAGAAGCTAGTGTCCAAATTTGATGTCATTGAAAATGAAAATACTATGCTTAAAGAAAGCAATGACTTATTAAATTTGGAAAATAAAAATTTGATCTCATCTATTGCTAGCCTATCTCATGCTAAGATTGATGCCATGTTAGAAGTAGAGAACATAAAGAATGATACAGCTTCTTTTATAAATAACTATTTATGTTCTACTTCTAAAAATGCATATGTGCCTAAAAATGAAGATTTGAATCTTATGAAAAATAGTATTTCATCCTTAGATTCAACTTTGAAAATATGCATTAATAATCATAAGAGGCTTATGGACATGTGTGCCAAGACTAAATCAAAATCATCTACTCATTATGCACACATGTATAGCAAAACTTATAAGTGTTCTATTTGCGGCCGTCAAGGTCATTTAGCTAAGTTTTGTTATGATGCACACAAACATAAGAATTCTAATGTTCCTTGTGCATCTCATATAGCTTCTTCATCTTGTACACTTACACATTCACATGCTCATTCTCACAAAGTTCATCATAAGCATGCTAGTGTGTTCAAGTGTGATTATTGTGGTCGTTTTGGTCATTTGGCCAAATATTGCTTTGATTTGAAAAGAAAATCTCATTTGACAAATGCTTCCAATAGACCACATGTTTTTAAATGTGATGTTTGTGGTAGGTTTGGACATCTTGCTAAATTTTGTTTTGATATAAAAAAGTTTCTAAATTGCAATATGTTCCAAATAGACCATTGTTTAAGAATGTTTCTCATTTGCAAAATAATTTTAAAAGAAAATCTTTATTTGCAAATGATTCCCGTGCACGAGCTAATGGTCCACAAAAACAAATGGATCTCTTTCATTGCACAAATTGCAATCGGAAGGGTCATTTGAATGAATATTGTTTTGACCATGTTAGTGCACCATATGTGCCTAAGAGGGTTCATAACCCTAAGGCTTTGAGCTTTAATGATAGGGGTCATGTCCCTAAATCTTTTGGTACCAAGAGTTCTTGGGTACCAAAACAAATTTAAATTTTAAACCAAGAATTTTAGTATTCTTATTTTTCCTTTTTCTTGGTTATTTGAAAATTATGCTTTGAAACTTTTTATGAAAACAAATTTTCTTTGGTCAAATTCTTTTGTTTTCATAATTCCTAGTTTTGATTTTGATGAGAGGTTTGTATTTATGTAACCCTCCGGATTTATTAGGTGTTTATTCCTAAATCATGTTTACCGGATGCTAGAATGATTATATGGGTTGGAACAAGCTTAAGAGCTTGATATATTGTTGCCTCTCTTGAAATTCTTTTATCAAAGATTTTGTTTTGAATTATTGCTTTGAATTCATTATATTTCACTTATATGATGATATTTATGTGTTTGTGCTTATGGATCATCTATTCGTGCCTTATAATGTATTCCATATGTGGTTTGATCAAATCCCACAAAAAAAATTTTCTTGTTTGATCAAACATCGTTTTTGGATTTAAACTTTGATTTATGATTTCTTTTGGTTGATTTGTTTTCATTTGAAAACTTTTTGCATGATTCTCATGTTTCTCTTCTTGTGATTTCATAAATCTATTTTTATACATGATTTTTATGTTTATGTTTTAAGACACATTTTTTCAATGATATATTAATATGTGTCCTCATTGTATTTTTGTATGTGAGTTTGGTTTAGCATGGTTATGCTTGCTCACATGTTTGCCTTGCACTTCATTTCATAACATTCATGAGGCATTTTAATAGGGGGAGCAATCCCTATATCTTTCTATGTGTTACACTCACCTATGCTTATTGATAGGGGGAGCTTTCGCTCTCTTCATTCTTTTTTGTCCCCTTTTTGATGTTGTCAAAGGGGGAGAAAATATTGTGAGTATACATTTCCTTTCATATATGCATGTGAATTATAATTTATATATTCCTTTGTATTCATGCATATATCATTTTTGTAAATTATTTGTCATCATCAAAAAGGGGGAGATTGTTGGCATTCTTGTTTTGATGATGATTTACAAACAATTTATATCTAATATTGTTTGTCTAGTGTTTGTGTTTTATATTTATTCTAGGCAAACAATATGTTTGGAGGATGGATGGAATAGAGCTTCAACGATCATATCCAAAGGAGGTTGGCGGAATGTCGGTGAAGCCTTGCAATTCAAAGTTAAAGATCAAGTTCAAGCTTCATCCGCAAGTGTACCAAAATTTAGTTTAGGATTTATATTATGTGTGTTAAATACTTCAAGCTCAATATCTATACACACACATTTATTGGTTTCTTCGTATATATATATAGTTATATATATATACACATCAGTTTTGGTTTCTATGCATATATATAGTTATATATATACATACATATGTTTTGGTTTTTATGATAAGTTTTCATGTTTATAAATATGAAATCACATGTTTCATATTTACTATTGTGTTTTGGTATTTATTGCATAGAATATGCAATTTTGTGAAAATATTATATTCTTAGTTTGTAGACTTCAATATCAGTTTATACATGTTTTACTAAGTCTATAAAAATATTTCACAAAGTTTTAAAAGTTGGTTTATGTCAAAACATCAAAATTCAAGTATATCATACTTTCATGTTTTGGACTATTTTGTAAAATGATGATATTTTTCATTTGGGAGGTCCTTTCTGATAACCAGTCGCTGTAGCATGTTTATTATCATGTCTACAATCATTCCCCAAAGTTTTACATTTTTTAGAATTTATTTGATACTTTTAAACAGTGTTTTAAAATCAGATATACAGAGCTGATTTTTTCTGGGCTTTTTGGACTTTTGCTTGGGGGTTTTGGCTGAGTTTTTGAGTGGGTATAAATACCCTATTGCTGCTCTCTTTCAAAGCTAGCCAAGAAGTTTTTAAACAAGGGTTTTAAAAAGAGTTTAAGCTTGTTTAAGCTTGTTTAAGGGTTTGGTTTAAAGCAGTTTTAGCTTTCACAAGTGGAGGAGATTATCTTATTGTTTGGGCCTCAAATCTTCATCTCTCCATCTTGATCTAGAGAAGTTTTCCTAAACTCAACTCTAGCTTTTACTTATAATTATTTGTTAATTATCATTTCTATTAAAGCTAGTTTTATATTGAGTTTAGATTTGATTTTATATTACTCATTGTTGCACACACCCACATTGAGCTTTTAGTATTTACATACATAGTATAGTTGGGTAGTGAGAGATTGTAACTTTGAGTTGTGCTTTTATTGTGTTCTCATCCATAGTTGAGAACAATCAAATTATTGTATTGAGCCTTATTGTGAGATTCACTTTATAATACACTTGTACACCTAGTGAGGAGTGTGTGGTGAGAGTCGGGGATCGTCCCAAGAGGAGTGGCGTCGGTTGACGAGCCTAGGGAGATGTTGTAACCGAGCACTTGAGGGAGACACGGCTAGGTCCAACACTTAGTGGGTGTAGAGTGGGATTACAAGAGTGTTGTTTGTAAAGTTTTCGGTTAGCTAGAAAACCGAGTGTGAGGTGTAAACGTTATTCGGGTGAACGTAGAAAACCCGGTTGATAGTGGATTTCTCCCCGGGAGTGGGGAGCGGAGACGTAGGACGGAAGGTCCGAACTTCGTGATCATTTGATTGTGTTTGAGTGTGCTTTGGCGTTCATTTTTATTTATGTTCATATCTTATATCGCCATTATGTATTGCTCATTTCTATATCACCCACTATCTTGTTTAGATTGTTTACCCTTGTGTTGTTTATATATCCTTACATACATTTCTATCATATAGGATATATCTCATTATTCATATTGCTTATCCTAGCTCATATATCTTGTCATATTTCATACTTGCTAGGATAACTTGTTTATTAATTTTAATTGGCATATAATCAGATTAGATTAGCATAAGACCCTAATCACCCCCCCTCTAGGGTCTAACATTCTACCTGTAAAGCACCAAAGAAAAATGAGCAGGAGGCTCATATTGTGCAAGATGCGCTGATTCTCGCTATGGATAGCGATTCCGATTCATGGGTTATTGATTCGGGAGCCTCATTCCACGCCACTGCTAATAGAAGGCTATTTCAGAACTATGTAGCAGGGGACTTTGGGAAAGTATACTTGGGGGATAATGAACCCTGTAGTGTAATTGGGAGAGGCGACGTGCAAATACAGTTGAAGGGCTCCTAGTGGTCTCTAAAGAGCGTCAGACACGTACCGAAGTTGAAGAGGAATCTTATTTCGGTTGGCCAGCTCGGAGCAGAAGGCTATGTTACAACATTCACCTGAGATTCGTGGAAAATCTCCAATGGTACCATGGTGGTTGCCCGAGGTAACAAGATCGGTACCCTCTACCTAACTTCACACGCGAGTGACACCCTCGCGATTGCTGCAGGCAAGGAGAGTGCAGATCTGTGGCACAATAGGCTGGGACACATGAGTGAGAATGGTATGAAGATTTTACACTCAGAAGGGAAGCTAACCGGTATTGATTCGGTGGAAGTCGGTGTTTGCGAAGACTGTAGCTTCGGGAAGCAGAAGAGAGTTAGTTTTCTGAAGGGTGGAAGACCACCTAAACCTCACAAGCTAGAGGTTGTTCATACAGATGTGTAGGATCCAGCTAGCGTGTCTTCTCTTGGCGGTTCGGCGTACTACCCTACCTTTATCAATGATCACTCGAGGAAGGTGTGGGTATACTTCATGAAGCACAAGTCGGAGGTGTTCAACATCTTTAAGAAGTGGAAAGCCATGGTGGAGAACGAGACAGATCTGAAAGTGAAGTGTCTGAGATCAGACAATGGTAGAGAATATGAACTGGAGGAGTTCAAGAAGTATTGTGTTTGCGGAAAAAGTTGCTGTATTCATTGCTGCATTCATTACAACTTCAATCGTTACAATGAAATAAAAAGATAGCCTTTTTATAAGACCGATACACAATGAAAACAAAACAGATACAACTCTTTTCAAACAAACGCAAGAGCTGTTTGTCATCTCTTGCTTGCGTGGGTCTTTTGCCTGTGACGGGGATGTTGATATCCGTGGACCACCGGGGCACTCAGATCTGTTCCGATAAAATCGGGCAGAGTTTCGTCTATCCGCGGGGGGATTTTAGAAACTCTGAACCCCGTCGATCCGCGTGGGATCTCAGAGGTGTAAAGCTTATGTCTCGGCTTAAAACGAGACACTAGCTCTTCTTGGTATCAACGCTAAGGCCAATACCAAGGGGAAGAGATGAATGAAGAGGGGGGCTGATGTGGATCCTCTGACTCCTCGTTCCAGCAGGGCTTCGCCGCTCTCTTAGAAAACTCCGACTCCTCGCTCCGGCAGGGCTTCGCCGCTTCAGAAGAAGGCGATCCTTGGCTAAGATAATTCAGCCTTGGAATTCCCCCAACAATCAAGAGCCCCTTCAAATGAGGCACTAGGGGCCTATTTATAGCCAAAAGGAGAGGGGGGGGGACCATTCTTGAGGACACCCCTTGGGGTGTCTCGGCCATAGCCGAGACACCCCTAGGGGTGTCTCGGCCATGGCCGAGACACCTCCCTTGGGGTGTCTCGGCCAAGGCCGAGACACCCCCTTGGGGGTGTCTCGGCCAAGGCCGAGACACCCCTTGGGGGTGTCTCGGCCAAAGCCGAGACACCCCCTTGGGGGTGTCTCGGCCAAGGCCGAGACACCCCTTGGGGTGTCTCGGCCTGGCCGAGACACCTGGGGTGTCTTGGCTTTGCCAAGACCCCCCTCGGGTGTTTCGTCCTGGCCGGGATCCCCCTGGGTGTCTCAGTCTGGTCCGAGGTGTTCCCAGGTGTATTTGCCGTTGATCCGCCATCCCAACTCGGATTCGAATGATTTCGGATGCGTTGGAATCTTGGCGAAGAGCTCTGTTAGCCCCGATGGTTGGATTATCAGTGGGGTGATCGGGACACGGCGGGCGTTGGTCCTTTTGCAGCGGTCGCGGGGTTTCCGGTCAATCCATATCCCCGTGATTCTGACATCCTGTCGGCTCACATAGTCCGTCGGTTCGCTTCAATCGTTCACCGGCGTCATTTGAACCCTTGTGAACCGGGTAGTGACGTTCAATCGTCGATCGTTAATACCGAGCCGTGTGCGGGGACCTATTGGCAATTTTTGATGCCTACACATGTGTGTTAGACATAGGCTTTGGGATTTTTGGCAAACCCCCAGCCATCAACGGGTTTGATGTGCCTTTACCGATTACCGTTTGAATCGGGCTAGCATGTGAATTATTAAAACCCGTTTCACATGTAACGTTGTGCTAAGAGAATTGCTCCTCTTAGACTTAATGCTATGATTTTGAATACATAGACTTCGTCTTTCTCACGGGAATAGACTACCCGGCAACGCGTGTTAGGCGTTGACTTATCCCTACTCAGGCTTCGGGATAAAATTCCCCGTGCATCGAGTGCCCGGATTTGACAATCGTGTCTTTTCTAAAAGCAAAGACAGATTGAGAAACGGGAGAGGAAGAATTTTATATTCTATCTCCCGGTGCTGAAGAGGAAGAATTTTATATTCTATCTACAGCTGGAAAGGGAACTTGAGGTGGGATCCCCCACCCCCAGAATCCGGAATGATGAACTGGGAGTGGGTTCTCCACTCCGAGCATCGATTGAGGATCGGGAGAGGAAGAATTTTATATTCTATCTCCCGGCGCTGAAGAGGAAGAATTTTATATTCTATCTACAGCTGGAAAGGGAACTTGAGGTGGGATCCCCCACCCCCAGAATCCGGAATGATGAACTGGGAGTGGGTTCTCCACTCCGAGCATCGGAAAGGTCCGAGGAGAGGAAGAATTTTATATTCTATCTCCCGGTGCTGAAGAGGAAGAATTTTATATTCTATCTACAGCTGGAAAGGAAACTCGAGGTGGGATCTCCACCCCCAGAATCCGGAAGGATGAAACTAAGAGTGGGATCTCCACTCCGAGAATCGTAACAATTCGGATAACCCTAACTGTCGGAAGGTTTGATTACCCGATTTGGAAGTGGACCTCTCGTTCATTGGGGGAATCGAGAGGAGATTTTGACTGTGGCCCTAACTGTACGAAGGTTTGACCCAGCAGGAGTTTGAGAGGACCCTAACTGTCGGAAGGTTTGATCACTCGATTTGAAAGTGGACCTCTCGTTCATTGGGGGAATCGAGAGGGGATTTTGGCTTTGGCCCTAACTTTTACAGGTTTTACCAGAAAACACAGAAAGTGGAACACGGGTAGCAAAGAAAATGCTAACTCGTATTGTCACTCAAGAGGAGGCTTTAATGCTAGGACCTAGCACGTTAAGTCTGAGAAATGCCAATGACGGGCAAATAGAAACGTTGGTGGATCCACTGTCGTTTAATTTGATCAGTGGATGGTTTGGTGAGGAAATATTAACCTATCAGAAGATTGGATCTCCTCTCACAAAAATAACTCATAAGAGTTAGGGAATAAGAAGGGACATTCTGACTTTTAGAGTTCGAATGTGAATTTCTTGTTCACCAATTCCACAATGATTGGGTTATCCCTAAGAATACCCATGTGGTATTCTTTTGGGAACTTCCCGATGTATTGGATTATCCACCCCCAGTTTCTCTCTTGGAACTGGGTTTGACTTTGTTATCTGGCCGGGTTATCCTTAAGAATATTAGTGTAATATCCTCCAGGAACTTCCCGTTAATGGTAGGAAATAGTTTAGACTCATATACCTATTGGAGTATCGGGGAGCAGTTTAACCTCTTATACCGGTCGGAGGTTTAAGAAGCAGTTTATACTCTTATACTTATCGGAGTATTGAGGAACAGTTTATACTCTTGTACTCTTTGGAGTATTGAGGAACAGTTTATACTCTTGTACTCTTTGGAGTTTGAGAAGCAGTTTATACTCATATACTCTTCGGAGTCTTGAGGAACAGTTTATACTCTTGTACTCTTTGGAGTATTGAGGAACAGTTTATACTCTTGTACTCTTTGGAGTTTTGCCGTTTTCAATTGGCTTACCCTAGCGTTATAACGCCGGCTTCAACCAAGGTCTGGATGTTATTCTTGAGAGCAAAGCATTCCTTGGTGGGGTGGAGGATCCTTCTGTGGTACTCGCAGTACGTTGGATCCGCAGAATCGCCATCTTCCTCTTGATGCGTGATGGGCGGGAGTTTGATTTTGTTGTTTTCGAGAAGGGTCTCGAAAATAGCTGGAACGTCTTCGTCTTTGAACGAGTACTCGTTTTGGAGCTCCTCGTCTGAATTCTCCTGTTGTTCCCAGGACTGCTGTTGTGACGTTTGATCATCGTCAATAACTGCTGCAGGTACGTCCTCTTCATCATGAGGTACGAGATCCGAATCCGGAGGATTAACCATCGGTTGGTTTCTCTCGATCTTCCGCCTTCTGATGAAGCGTTCAGCTTGTTCTCCTCGAGCCTTCAACTCTTTCCAGGTATTGAGCGGCTCTATTCCCATCACGTCCAAGATGTCAATGGACAAGTTGTTCTGACAAGTCTGCAAGAGGAATTCCTCCGTGACGGGATCCCTGCAGTTCATTGCCTGATTGCGGAAGCGTTTGATGAAGGTATCCACCGACTCTCCGCCTTTTTGTTTCTCGTCGAAGAGTGTCCTGATCGACACCTCGGTGTCATCATCGAAGAAATGGGCGAGAAACATGCCTTCCAAGTCCTCCCAGCTGTTGATGCTTCCGGGCTTGAGACGGCGGTACCAATCGAAGGCAGGCCCGCGAAGGGTGCCAACGAATGACCGAACCATCAAAGGCTCGTTGCCCGAGATTACTCCCAAGTGAGACTTGAAGTAGATCAGATGTTGAGTGGGCGAGCCCTTTCCGTTGAACGGCGTGAAGTTGATCAGGTTGAACTTCGCCGGATACGGGATCGAATCCCACTTTCTCGGGTAAGGACACGGAATGCCGGTCCTCTTCACCTCCCGAACAGACATCAGGGCTTCGATTTTTCTTTCGAGCTCCTTTATCTTTTCGGCCTCACCCATATCCTGTTTTGGATAAGTTTCGAGAGGAATCATACGGCCACCCCCAGTGTTGTCACTACTGGTGGGTCCACCCCCAGCGCTATCATCACTGGTGGGTCCACCCCCAGCGCTGTTAATTTTAGTGGGGCCACCCCCAGTATTCTTGGGTGGTGCGTTGGCCATGACGATTTCGACCACCTCCGGCTCGCTGTTGACTGCAGCGTTCTGGGTGCGACGGT